AAGATTTTGAGAGAATAAAGCCAAATTGGAGTGTTTTTTAGGATAAAGTGATCAGAACAGTGAAGAATATAGAAACTGTATCTTAGTCATTAATTCAAAACACCTTCACTAAGCACCGACTGTTCTAGGTTCACATATGTGAAATGGCAGAAGGAGCTTGCAAGCTGTAACCAGAAATAGGATGTGGAAGAATGGGCTTCCACACTTTCCGTTATCGGATATTTGGTAGAATTACACTTATTCTTTACATTTTAAGGGCAGTGTGAAGTTCCATGGGTAGAAAGCATGGAGGGACAAATTGGCACTCTGTTCTGTTACAAAATAGGGCGCCTCAGAGGGTAGGAAGCCCTTTCTCCCTGGAAGAACACAAGTGTAATGAGTTCTAGAAGAAAACATCCTGGACCTGATGGCAGGAATCCCAGCTCCCATTCATGGCATGGTTACTATGTAACCTTGTGACTAGGGAAACAAAAGCCCTCCTCTGAGCTTCACATTCCTCAGCTATGAAATGATGGATCTGGACAAAATGATCTTCTAGTCTATTCCAACTTTATAACAAAGACAAGCCATGTGATATACTAAATACATGAAAGGCAGCACAATCACCTTAAGATCACACACCTCTCTGACCTCCAGTTTTTATCTGCAGAATGAGGATGGAGGGAGTAAAAGCCACCTTCAGGACTGTTAAATAAAATAAGACATTTGGGAGCTTTATGAACTCCAAAGCACTCTGCAACACTACAGATTATAGAGCTGGCTTTTTTTTTTCCAGCTTTTGTAATGAACTAGAAAAAGCAGTGGACCCTACTTTTAGGTCGCATGTCCCAAACTTACTTGCTGTGTGACTACAGACAAATTATTTAACTTCTCTGTGCCTGATTTCTCATTTGCAAAAGAGAAAAAAGCATCTTCCTTACAAGTCTGTTGTGATGAGTTTTAAAAAAGCACTTGAAAATACCTAGCGTTGTGTGAGAGATACATAGTAGGGGCTCACAAAATGCCAGTTCAACCTGATAGTTCAAGAAAATAAGCAAATATAAAGGATCTATACTCACATAGTAGGAGGCAGGCTAATATATAAAATATGGCCGAATTAATATGTGACTGTGTGCATTTAATTCTGGCACAAACCTCCAAGAGTGACAGCATCAGGGCAATTTTGATGGAAGAGCCTATGTACACTTCAGACCAGAGTATTGATCTGGTCTGCTTGACCAGCACATCCCAGGCCATTTCGGCATGTACTGATGTCCTGAAGTGTTTTCAACAAAGCCAAACACCATTTACCATCTATGTTTGGATTGAAGGTTTGCTATGCCATCTATTTGTGAAAATCCTTGCGTATGTCTCAGGGCAGCCCCATGGGCACAGGCAAAGGACTGGCCAAGCCCAAAACAGCACATCGAATGGAAACAAGTCCCAGGAGCCTTTAGCTAATAACTAACAGCACAATTGCTGTTTGTCTTGCTGTAAAGGGTGCTCAGTCATGACTGCTTGGAGAAACCAAAGAGCAGGTGAAATAAGATTTCAGCAGGATCAAGTGGACATTCATAAAACTGTGTTGGGAAAATGTCCACTTGACCTGTGATAATTGTTACCATTTTTGAAGACCTTTACAGTCAAGCATTGTGCTAGATGCTTTATCTAGATTATCTCTAATTTTCTCAAGAACCTTGTAGGATAAACAGTATGATTCCCATTTCATGGTTGGGGAAACTGAGTCTCAGGAAAGATAAGTATCTTGCCCATATCACAGAGCTTGTCCAGCTCTCTCTACTATATCATGCTATTTCCGTAACAGGGGCAACCCATCTCATTTGAAAGCCAAGGACAAACCTGGGTGAGTAGTTCTTCCTGATGATAAAAATTTGCCAAAATGATATGCACCATGATCAAACAATCCAAATATTACCTAAGGTCATCCATCATACACCGTCACCTTTATGTTATAATTGCAAACTCTCCTTCCCATGCTGTCTCAGAAAATCCTGTCTGGAAAAGAGCGGGTCTCACTTTGTCCCTCTGTCCATAGGAGCTGAAGCCTCTCTGCGCAGATCAACAGACCTAAGAAATAGCATCAATGTGGGCTCGTGGTGGGTGCTTCAAGACTGGCATGGAAATCAGCATCACAACAGGCTCTCTTGTATTCTTTCACCTCACCTCATCCCACGAAGAAATTCATTCTTGCCCTGTGGAACTCGTTTGAAAGAGAGAACTAAGAGTTTTTGGCAACCAACGGCAGATACCTATGGCAGCACAAAAAAACAAACAAACAAACAAACAAAAAAACCACAAAGTATAACAAAATCATACCCAATGTTAAATCACAAATCAAGCAAATGCTTTTCAAACAAATATTCTGAGCTCTCCTAATGTGGGTTTAAGATGACCCAGTATGCAAAATCATAATTCTCTTTTTATTTCTCTACCTGTTGACCACTATAGAGACATCAAATTTGGCGTGACAGGCCTCAGAAAGTTACAACAAGGTCGGCACTGACTTCTTTTAGGCAAAGCAAGAGGTCCTCTGTGACTACAATCTCATGACCCATATGCCTTTTGACATATGATGATGTTTTTTCATCACTCCACAGGGCCTCGTCTGCCATTTTCCCCCTCTCCTTCCTTTGTCATGTTTGAAAATTAATGGGTGTACAAATTTTTGTATCACTTTTGACTTTTCTTAGATATTGATGAAGAAATCTAACTGGAAAAAAAGTCTCATCTGAAATGAATTAACTTGAAATCACAAGAAAATAAGCAGTTGATTATTCTTTATGATCAAGAATGTTGCCAAAACCCTTTAGCTATTTCTGCATCCTGGTGAAGAAAGACAGCTTTCGTTGTGAAACTTCATTCTGTGAGTAGGAAAGGACATCAAATCCCATTGATGAGAAAGATGAAAAATGCATCTGATTTCCTAAGAAGCTCTAAATTCTAAGTACAATAAAATGATATTTTTTATTTTTCCGATATCTTGCTGCTGTGATGCTATGCAGACAAGTGTCTTCTCCACGTGCCATTTTCAAAGAAAAGTCATTTGCCAAATAATCCTGATACAATCCTGGTAATGTGGTTTTGGATCTTAAAAACCAACTTTCTATTGGAATAACGGTGACATGAATATTCAGAATAACAAACTGATTCTGTAGTCACAATGGTTCATCTCTATCTCTTTTTGTACATCAGAAAATTCAAATGGGATTTTTATTTTATAACTTGAAAAAAAAAACCTTACCATTAAACTCTTTAAATATTTAAGGGAAATGGCTTTAAGGAGTTCTAATGAAAAAAAAAATTGCCAGTTTTTTTTTTGTAAATATAAATGTTAATGAAAATGCTTTTTAATAATGCCATTACACTGTAGAGAAGGTAGCAGATTGAGTGCAAGATGTGACAGACTTGATGGATGGGGCTTGCTTTCCAGATGTTATTCTGGGGCATATGGTAGGAAGCTGGAGTTCAGAGACAGCTGGCAGGAGCAGTTGGCCAATCAGCAGCTAGTGAACAGGAAGGGAGCACGTGACTCCATCATCTAATCTAGCCTTTCCACGAAGAGTACCCGCCCTCGGCGTCAAACAAGAAAAAGACAATTCACATTGTGAAGGACTGCCCTTCAGATTCTAAACCTCCCTTCCACCTCTCCACTCCCATAAACATCACTGGACTGTTTGTACATGAAACAGAAGAGTTTAAGCTTCCTTTTTTTACATTTATGAGACAAAAAGTGCAGTGTTCGGTTCGTATGTTTAGCACATGATTTTCATAAAGAATCTATATATTTTTGCCCTACAGAGAATTGTTCTACAGATCAAATGTGTTTTCCTGATGTTCCTATGCAGTTACAATATGTTGAATTTAGTGGTTTAACACTAAGGAGAAAACTTTAAAGAATCATGGGACTGATTGGTTTAGAGGGTAATTACTATTACTTAGTTTAAAATTTGAAAATTAGAATTTACGTTGATATGATTAACTGAAGTAGGCCTGTACACTTGGGTTCTTCATATCAATAGAAACAAAAATGATTTGGAAGAAGGTATACTTGCTCACAAAGAGAAAATTGATGTCAAGGTGATTGTTACTGTTTGAAGCCCAAATTTTACATGATCAGGTCACTGGAATCTACATTTTTTTTCCAGTGAAGTAAACTGACCCAATGTCCATTACAGACAGAACCTATGTAAATGTCATCCTAATGCAGAAGGTCTGAAGAACCAGAAAAGTGAGAAGGGCCATTGACCTCCCTCTGTAGCTGTCACCTGTTGGTCCACATGATGTCTCCAGGAATGTGCATACATTTTATGATTAGGTAATCTTTTCACATGAAGGGGGAAATGGGAAAGGTGTGATGACCATACGATTTGTCCTGAAACCAGTTTGATTGTTTTCTGGGAATTGGTGAAAATAGCCAGTTCCCATGGGGAAGTGGCTTAAATTGCCCTGTTGTCCGTGATTCTGATTCTAAACAAGTGGTGCTATCTTCTCCCTCAATATGGCTGTCGTGAGTGTGTCTCGCAGTATCACGCCATTACACTGATCCTTTGGGTTGCTTCTGACACGTTCCAGGTGAACTCTGGCTGATGTTACTGTGTCAGGTACACGGTCGAGAGTTAATTTCATAGCAGAAAGGGACAGCCCAGTGGACTTATGATTCATTGGATGTGATGGAAAATGTAACTGGCTCTGAACTTAAAGGAGAGGCCCATGTGATGCATTCAAGTGAGGGAAAGAAAGTTAAGATTTTAAACTGCCATCCGTGTTATCATCGGCAGAATTCTGATGTTTAGCAAGCACTGTTTGGCGCGCTCAGAACCACATGTCCTATCCCAGGAGTACGGTGAAATTTCCAAATAAGAGCTGAGGTGCCAATACCAAAAGGCCATGGGATGTCTGCACAGTTCCAGTTAGACGGATAGAAAATCCATGTATACAGCTGTTAATTTCTCATCCTTCAATAGCACTAAATTTGTCACTTTAAATTTTGAAACCAGGGAAACTCCACCTGTCATTCTGTCCCCATTCCCCATAGCTCTTCAATCTTTACATGCCACAAGACTTTTTGATAATTTGTACTCATCCCAGCGTCTACTGAAACCCCCTCATGTAATGTACCGGCACCTTCTTTTTTAAAAATGTTTACTCCGTGGGTTTGGTTCATTTCAATTTCTGTGTTCTGACACATATTTTTTTAATAAAGATGAGAAAGAGAAAATGACTGTTGCAGTCCATTTCTAGACCTGCTTTACCTTTACCTCAGATAACAGTTTGTTAACATATATGGACACATTATTTTTAACTTTATGTACAATGCATTCAACAGAACAGCAAAATTTTTAGAAATTTTCCATTAATTTCTGTAACACACCATGTAAAACTTACAAATAAACATGTTTGAGAACAACAGCTTAGCCTGGCTTTATTCCACAAGTTTCTATTGGCTATTCAGGCAAGGGATTGGAAGAGGAAGTTGCCTGTCTCTAAAGCTTCCATCTCACCAGGTGAAGGCCTGTTTTCCTGGCACTGGGCCGGAAAGAGAAAGCTTCTGTGAGGAGGTGAATCGGTTTATCTTCAGTTGAATTCAGGTATTTGATATGCTTGGGAAATCAGCCACACTGAAGAATGAGGAGGATGTTGTCAGGAAAAGCACACCCTGTGTAGATATGGTGTTTGGATCACATTTAACATAGGACTTTCAAAGTTGGGAAGGACTCAAGGACTAGCTTTATGGATCTGTGACTTCTCCTTTAAAAAAAAAAAACTTGCTAAATGGTTGTTAAACCAAGTTTACTCTAAACTCTCAAATAAACTTGCCATAGTTCATTTCAAGGTCAGCTGCTTTAAGGGACCCAAACAAGAAATAATTTGTTTTCCTTCACATTCCCTACACACCAAAAAAAAAGAAAGAAAGAAAAGAAAAGGAAAAAAAAAACATAAAACAAAAAGAAGTTTAAGACTGGACCTTGACTTACATATGGATTGAAAATAGAAAAAAATAGTATATATGTTTATGTATGTATATATATTTATAGTGTATATATATATGTATATATATATATATATATGTGTGTATGTGTGTCATTTTCATTACCTCTTGATACTAAATCAGATTGTCTATCCAATGATCAGCCAGATTACAGATTACAATTAGCTTGTCAAGATGCCAGAAAACACCTCTGTTTAGGAATGGTTATATTAATGATTGCATAAATACATGCCCACAACCAGGCCTCATTATACAGAAAGTATTACACAGATGTTATCTCCAACTTGGCGAAAATAAGAGAACTGGCTTTGATTCCAGCAAAATAAATTTCAGTCAGGCAGAAGAAACAACTTTTATACAGTAAGAAATGCTCACTCCTGGATGGAATTGGTAAAAAAATGTTACACAAGCTTTTCTGAATAACAACAGTGGCTCACATTTGTTGAACAGCTAATATGTGCCGGATAGACGCTAGATGCTTAATGTCCATTATCTCAGTTAATTTTTAAACAGCACGGAGTGGGCAGATATTAACCCCAACGTATAGATAAAGAAACTGAGATCGGAGAGATCAAATGACTTGGTAAAGCTGAGAATTGAATTTTGAGACTTTTTAGTCATAGTTGATTTTAATTTTAAAAAAATAGTTGGACAGTCATTCACTCTTTTAAATAGGTCTACGTACGCTTGTTGAAAAGCATTAACTTCCCATGCTTCTTCCCAGACGTGTTGTTGGTCCTTGGTAATAAGAGATTTCTAAGTTCCTTCAGTTTAAAGTAAAAATAAAAATCTATTAGATGTTACTGTCTTAAGTATGTTGCTAAATATATAGTTTCTTCTTTAATTGGCAATTTTGAAAGGATGTGTGTCTGAGTGATAAAGAATACACCTCTTTGCCCAACTAGTTCAAGGTTAACTGAAACCAAGCACTGGTGACTTACTTTTCCAACCTAAGTAAAGCTTGAAGAAGCGACAAATTAAAAGGTGTCCTATTTAACTGCTAGGCAGATGCCAAAATACATCAAGCAGACATATCTGCTTTCATATTGTGCTTGCGAGGAAACCCTTGTTGTTTTGACAGTGAATGTTTTTTGTTTTACTCAGAATGACAGTAGGAAAAGTGCCTAGAATAAAAACGGGTTTCATGAAATCAAACTTCAAAGCTTTGAAAGCTTTCAAAAGATGTTTAAATTCAAGGGCAATGTGAGCAACGGTGCCTCAAAGATTTAAAAAATACAACAGATGTAAATGGCTTTCAAGACATTTAGTGACCAGGTCGCGGGATTTATGTTGAAATATGAGTAACAGCTGCGACTCTTGTGCTCCTGCTCTCTATGTGCCACCCTTTTCCTAGCTATCATTTCTAAATACTAACACAAACCTTGAGAGAAAAGAAATGTGCTCCCCATTTTACAGTTTAGGAAACTGAAACCCAGAGATGTTATGAAACACCTATCAATCAAGAGAGCCAAATAGCTCACCCAGAGGCTGTCATAGTGCCCAGGGTTTGATTCCCGAGAGTTTTTCCTCCACTCCGTTGTTGCTTCTGTCTGAAGGGTTTCATGATGTCAAATTGCTCATGCACCCTCTATAAAATACCCTTGAGTCTTTCTGTATTTCCATTCCAAGTAGTGCCTTATATTACAAAATCACACCATGCATTACCCTGACTGATTCTACAGAAATTGATTCTTACATGAAATGACTGCAGTTATTTTAAAACAAAGGAAAACTCTCTAGTTTTAGTCTCAAGAACAGGAATAGCTCTAACCCAATCTAATGAATATTTAATTTCAAACCAAAACCCGCACATTCACTTTATCTTCCAAGGTCCAGAGATCTGAAGAGGGAGCCTTTTTGAACAGGTTTTCTGTTCATCCTTTGCTAAAGAATATGAACGCCTGCCAAGTAAAAAATGTCTAAATATTCTTCTGAGGCAGCATCCTCAGGTGACCTGGGTTTTTCATCTTCTAAACAACCTCTTGCTACTGGTATCACTCACGCTGGGGTCGCAGCCTAGAGTGGGGGACAAGCACACGTGGCTGGAGACGGAGTGAGCAGCAGTCAGCGCTGGCATACTGTCAACAGTGAAATACAACAGTGAAATAAACGTTCCTCCCGGACGTTTAGCAACTGTACCGTGCCTTCCCTTTGGGAGTGGGGAGAACCCCGAAGTCTGTCTCATTTCCGATTAGGTCTGAATCACTTAAACCTGTACATGGCCATGAGCTCACAAGTCTAGGATATGATTTATTAGAGGAAAATCGTTTTTCTCTTACCTGTTT